CCTCCTAGATGACTTCATGACCGCTAATGAAATGGTGCGGGATCCATCGCGGCAGTGGCGTTCTCGCACAGCAAACTCCGACTTTTAAGTGAAATAGCTTATTTTAGAAACAAGCAAAACACCTTTTTTTAGACAATGTGCTTTCTTTAACATATGCTACACTGGTGGCTTTACGTTTAAAAAGGTGTATACTTAACTGGATTCCATTTGGTTTTCAAGAAGGTTAGACAAAGCTTTATGTAATAAATAATACTTCTGTTATGAATGCTGCTTGAAAAATAAATAGCATTAATGGCAAATAAATACCGTCATAAATAACGTACAGTTGGAGGAACAATGCTATTTAATGTCGGTATAAATTCGGCAACAACAACACTAGATAATGCGGAATAATTCGTACAAAGCTATGCCTGAAAAATAAAAGACATATTTCCAAGTTGTCATAGTTTATAAGCTTTTTTGGTCGCTTAAAGGCATAGTACATATATGCAACAATTTTAATTGCCATTATTTGTGTGTTTAGCTTTAGATAGGGGGCACTTGTGCTAGACGAAAATGTCGCGGCGCCGACTCACCTTTTTTAATTCCAATAATCTGACGAACACTTCTAAAGTGTAATGTAGCATTTTGTCAGGTTTCCACTAATAGTTTCAAAGGTTTCATTTAATTTAATGTTCTCTCTACCACGATTTTGTACATTAAATAATCGTGAATGATGGACTACTAATATATAATTGTTACTGTATTAACATCATAATGGAGAAAGTGTAAAAAACAGGGAAAGGAAAATAATTCGTGATTATATTTAGTTGAACAAAGTAGATGGGAATAAATCTAGGATAGAGTTTTTTGAATAAGTAAATTTCTATCCCCACGATTAATAAGACACTAAGTTGCATACTGTTTTTTTAAGGAAACATTATCGTAAATTATAGGGGAAAATTGAGTACCAGTGAACATAGAAGAACACAGAAGTAGATTTAAAGTGAACTTTCAGATACAGCTTGCTTTAAGGCAATCGAAAAAAAGCGGAGACACTATGAGAGGGGCATCGTAACATGCGTAAACACTTGAAGAAAAACCAGAACAATAAATTGGGATTAACTGCGAATTGTCCTCCAATTAATTAATTGTTGTTAAGGTTTGATATTAATAATACTTTGTTAGCATTAAGGATGGTAATTATTTAATGTCAAAAGGAATATTTAATATTCTTTACATTTTTTTATCACGTGACAATGTTGTTTTTGTTATCAATTAAATATTAGCTTTCTTAGAATATTTAGTCATCCACAGAGCTATAACGTACAGTTCGATGGGTTGGCCATTGAAGTTGTGATTCAGTAAGAAGGCAGTTTCATGGATAAATATACAATTTAAGTATTCTCCCTTCTAAAATAATGAATGGAAAATGCAACATTTCGCATGAGACTCACAGTAAAACATTTAACATAACCAAAAATTCATTAAAATTTTGAAGCAATATTTGAGTTGCCTTTGACTTTCTTTTTGCTTTTCAAAATAATTTAATATATTGTAAATATTACAGAATTTTAGTTTCCCTTGAAGTTTATCTTTGGTGTTGGCTAATACTCGCATAAACCCCCATGGAACATCGACGGTTTTCTGCTTGCCAATCCGTCGCTAATTCGCTTTTATTTGTGACTGTGCTCTATATTCTAAATAACCGTAATTTTTTGTTAGTTGCGGGTTATACAAATGCTAATAGTCGTATAATAGTGTCAAAGAGTCATGTGTAATAATAACATTCAAAACCTTGAATACAAGAACAAGAATAATAACGTAAATTTTAAAAAAGGGAAAGTAAAAGGGGCAACTTAACAATTTCTTAGTCATATCCTGAAGCTTTTTAAACCCCCTATCTACTACTACAGGGGCATGTTTTGGGATTGCAAAACTTTTATTTGTAAGGCGTTTTCATATTCGATTGATGCTTTTTGGATTTTTAACATCCAGTTAGTTATTTCTTTCTTTTTTTGCCGGTTCTACGTTTTTCCTGCCTTTGACCTACATTGAATGGGCAAGTTACACTCAGGAAACGAACTGTTGATACAGTTTGAAAGTATCTAAAATCTCTCTTTTCTCCACTCTTCTCATTTTGCTACGCCATTACATTTTAATTGACCTATTTAGATCCGCTCCCCAAACTTTTCTCTGTCGAGAAGCAAGGACAAACCTTTCCCGATCGTTCAACAGATTTCTGCTCTAGACAATGCTACCGACAAGCAAAACATTAATTATTCTTCCATTCTCTGCAAGTATCTGGATCTTGAACATCATCTGGTTTCTCCTTCCTGTAAATGAACGCGTTTTGCTATCTTCAGCATGTTCTTATTTTCACCAAGAATGCTTAACATTTTGTCGAATGCCATCGATTTCGTTTTTTTATATCATTTTTTTTGGGTGGAATAATTTTATTCGAAACACCTCATTTTTATACTTTTTCAAATTGGCTTTTAAGAAATCTATTGAATATAACATCCATTTTCAGCTCTTACTAGTGAAAATCAAATATCTTCGCACGTGTGTCTATCATTCTTGTTTAGACAGCCCATTTGACTTGGATACTTGGGCTCTACAGCGGGTTGACCCGCGTCTCAGTAGATTGAGCTGACGTTTCAATCATCGTGTTGTGGCTTTTTTCAGTAGGCAGCAGTATAGCTCTGAGAATGCCACAACGGCGAATGACCGAACTTCAGGCTCGATATCGGACTGAGATGCCCCAGAGAGCCCAAGTCCACAATGACTCCCGGCCGCGGAGCCTTCAAAACACACCTCTGACTTTATTTTTTTTTTATTCAAGTATAAAACACTTACTGACAGCAGTCAGGGTTTTACTAGTTAGTATGATGCGGTCACAAGCAAAATTATTTCGCTTCTCTGTGCATTCAATAAGATTTTTCTGCATTAGTTTTGTGCCTTCCTTTACTTCTTACCAGTAGCCCTAAAATTGGACTTCACCCTGAAAGAACCGCTTTTACTAGTGAATGTCCTCGAAAGTAATTTCTTAGTGGTGTTAAATTATTTGGAGCATAAAGTTTTCCTATTTTGCAATCCAATTTGCTGCTCATTACTAGAGTCATTTATCTTGTTCAGGCGGCTTTGGAGGTTACTTCTTGATTAACGTGGCCCAGGAAAGCGGTGCCTAATCGAGCGTTACGGGCGACGCAGCGGGGTCGCCAAAAAGTCGCCCATCGCCACGCAACCACACGGGCCACCGAGCGTGCATAGAACGCCCCCGCCGGCACACGCCTCTCGCATTCAGTGTCTTCCGTCAGCTCCCTTTGAACTCGATTCGCGCCGGGGGCTGGGCGCCAGTCGCGCTTCATTAGATATTCTGGTATTCTGCGGCTCTCATCAGTCGCAGGCCGGCAGCCAGCGGCGAGCGGGCGGCGCTGTAGCAATCCCCTTGATCGCGTGCGCGGCGGTCGAGCGTGGGCCCGTTGCGCGCGTGGCAGCCCCCCAGAATCCTCCCCGCCACCCTGCGCCCCCTGGCTGTTAACACCCGCTCCGTCCGCCATCTCCTGCCTTCCAATCTTTCTCCCGCCACATCCTCCCCTGCCACATTCCTCCTGCACCCTCCTCCCGTACCCTCCTCCCGCACCTCCTTCCGCCTCCTCCGCACCTCCTCCTCCCGCCACCCTCCTTCCCGGTACCTGCCTCCTCCCCGCCACCGCTCCTGGCCCTTTCCTCTTGTACTTCTTGACAACCTTCTCCCTTCATTGCCTCTCAAGCCATCGTCCGCACTCCAAAACGTTCCCCCCTTTTCCCTTTGGGAGGAAAAACGCCCTGTCTCTTAGGATTTCTAACCGCCACGGCGTCGCCTACCTTTCGTACTTTTGCTAGATGCCCTTCATCTCGACGACCCTGGGCTTTCATGCTTTTGCTTTGTGGAATGTTTTCACCACATGATGCCCTCCTTCCTGGCCTTTCGACGGCCCATGCGATTCGACGCCCCTAGACGTTCTGGACGTCTTTCTCTTCTCGACGCCTTTTCTACATGTTTCATTCTTTATTCTCGGTCCTTTCTCTGTACATTGCCTCGACACTCCTGGCATTCACTAGGGCCGTCACCTCTCTGCCATTAACCATCCCTTTCCTTCCTTCCCGTCTATACCCTCTCCTCGCCACGCCACCTTCCTGACAGGCCTCGTTTCAGATCCTCAACGCATTTGCTCTCAGGACATATTCTCTTCTTAGGATTCTCCTCTTAGTCCGCCACCTTACCTTCCCGCCCACAATTCTCCCAATCCCCAATTACTTACTCCGGGCGATTCGACTTGACGCGCCTTGCTTCGCCCTGCCCACCTCTGCCTCTCCTATCTATCCCTAAGGTCCTTCTCTGTCTCAGAATTCCCAAGGCCGTCATCTTCGCCGAGACCTCCCTCGCTGAAGCCCTGCTTCCGACCCTCTTCGGCGCGGTCTTTTTCGCCCGCTTGGCGCAAAAGAGCTCAAAGTAGGGGCTTGAAGCGCGCGGGCGCGGCGGCGAGCCGCACCCGATGAGCGGAAACGCGATCCCGATGAAGCGATGAGCGAACGCCGTGCATTGCCCGTGGAACGTTCTCGCATGGCGCTTGGAGCGGAAGCCAAGTGAATCTTTTTTCGACGCGGGGGGCGGGGATAGGGTAGTACGCGGCTGATCAACGGGGAGGGGGAGAGAAACATGAGAGCTTCACATGCCCAAGATAATGGTCATGTGATGGGGTTTGTCCACGGGGATGGTCCGGTTGACTCTATTTCATTAGACAGAAGACGATTGCCCCCGAGTACATTTTTCGGAAGTATTTTAACTTTATTCTAAATAAACAATGAATCGTAGAGTTAAAAAGACATTGATGTTAACATTTAACAGTGTACTACATGGAATACAAAGATTACAACGAATAGGAATGCAAAACTACTGCGTTCTACATTCAAATCTTATTAGTTTATGTTTCGCCATGTTGCGATACCCATTTTTTAACTTGCAAATTACACACATGTATTCCGGGATAAAACAAGGTGTGTTCTGTTTACTTTCAGAAGAATGAGTACGTCTCTTACGCGAGAGTGTCCAATGAGCCTGTCTCTATGAGATAACTTTGTGAAATCGCGCACCAGAGAGCGCTCGCGTACAGCAGAAGTGGGCGGGGGCTCGATTGCGCAATGCAAGAGCGCTATCTCGCTCGGACAGAACAACTCAAGGTCACTGGAACATGACGTCAGCCTCTCACACAGAGAAGACATAAAACGAACGCCGGGTGCAGTCTTTGCATAGACGCAGGTGGAGGAGGAGGTTGTGTTGACATCGGTCACTACACGCGCGTAACACACCACTGGTGGAACAGAAGAACGTGCTTTACGGCTGTTTAAGCTATTAGCGACTACCAGGTACGTTGAAGTTTCATCAAACTATTATCTTCTTTTTCACACAGTTTCTACTTTTTTGCCAATTGCGGGGATTGAGGTGTTAATGTTTTAACATACATATTCAATGAGCAAGTTGAAAATGCTTTATCAACAACTATACTTTAACTTATACTTTAACAATATTTGTAATAACGAAAGAACAATAAGACACACTTTTTTATAAACTTCAGAAGGTATTACATAAAAATTACGAAAATCATTCGGATTTTGTTAATGATATTCTCCAAGGAGAGTAAATAATTGATTTTCAATTTCATAACATTCTGGTACCAACAACAAATTTAAAAATAGCAAATTAAAATTATAAAAATAAATCATTATTGAAATGCACAAAGAAAAAAGTCAGTTTATGATTACTTCATAAATCAATAAATTATTTTAATCATTGTAAAACATTAATGCACATACAAAAATGAATCTAAAACATTAAAATAATATTAATTTGGTGATTTAAAAGGAGCAGTTCCGACATTCCAGTGTTTAACACCAATATTTGTCTTAACTGCATTTATACTTTATAAAAACTTCTAAAAAATAATGACATAATTTAATTTACATACATGTAAAGACGCTCTTATGAAGACAAAAATATATACAATATTATTGAAAGTAAACACCTGCTTACATCGTGACAATATACATCTGTTAGTTTACCTTCTGTCGGTTTCCCATCTAAGTATTCTTACCACTAGTGCCAACATCACAAAAGTCGTATAGTAAATTCAAACAATATTCAGCGAGTCCTCTGCTTGGAAGAGATCGTAATGGCAGTAGTTCTGTAGCGATTTTGAACTGGAGGGTCGCGGGTCTGAGTCCCGCCTCGGGCATGGTTGTATTTAAGCTCCCCCTACTATATCGCATCATATTGTTAATCATATCGTAAATCGGTAGTGGTCGATAATGACCTAGCTGTTGATACGACCTAAATAAACAAAATTCGGCGAATAAACTACTTAAAAACTTTGACTAATCGTTCGGTGACGTGTTATGACAAATGGCTTCTCACCGTCACCGGAAGGTCACCGGTAGTGGCCTTCCCATTGTCCATTCCTGGTCCGACCATTCAAAGCTTTTCATGTGGCAAAACTTAATTACAAGCGAATCTGTCCGGCTTACGGGCTAAGAGTTGAAGTATTTAGGCTTCTCCATCAATTCATTTGGAGCAACCGTTACGCTTCAGTACCACATGCAAACACACACGACAACAGCAACACGTACACGGAGAAAGAACGAAGAAAACGTGCACTATAAACCGTAAAGGAGAGCGCACGCTTATTCAATGAGCAAATTGTGAGTGAATTGCTGAGTCAGATCGAGAAGGAGAGGCGAAATAATTAAATTAATACACTAGGGGCGTTATGTCAGCGTATGCTTTGTCACATTCATTGTAACAGGTACTTTGCAACTTGAAGTCTAATAACACTTCACCCTTTTCTTGAGACAATCGCGATTACGATTGTTATTCTTTTACAGATCAAAATCATTAGAGTTGAGGGTTTCATACAGGTGAAATTACGAAATGTGACTGGCTCGTGTTCGCAGGGCTGGGTAGCCACTTGAATAGGGAATAAATATGCACCTGTCTTCTGAAAAAAATCAGTATGTTCCATGAATCATTGGTCTTTAATTCCCTTACGAGTTAGTTTCTTACTATATTCATTTTGATAAAATAGTATCTTTGGGATTGTAATACTAAAAGAGTGTTTGTTAATTGAATGGAAATAATAAAAAAAATCGACAGCAGAATAACACCCACGGATACGAAAAACTACGTTTCTTTTTTATATCGCTGTTTCTTCCAACAAAAATATGGAAAGGAATTCACTGTAAAAAAGAATCACGACAGTCTGGCAACTTAAATAAAAGAACAACGAAAGCAGGACTGTGTATTAATTTTAACAGTTATCTCCACTACCGATCTCATAGAGAAAGACGCCCACAGAAAATCTTCCGAAAATTGATATCCCTCCATGTCACTCAAAATTGATGCAGAGGTCTGTTATCCTAATTACTTGCCACATTGCTTGAAAAAAATTTCTACTACTATAATTAATGAAATTAATAGCAAATAATACACTTGGCGAAAACAGTCCGTTGTTATTTGAGAATCAGGTCTTCATGTGAAGAAGAATACTGATAATTCAAAATAATAATAATAAAATAATAATAACAATAATAATAATAATAATTAATAATAATAAAATAATGACAATAAAGTCAAGTCCGTGGGCAGACGGTTGCGGCAGATATCGTCTGCGTCGAGGCGGCTAGAGGTTCGAGTACTGTGTAGACACGATCGTAGTTGTGATTGTCCCTTCACCCCTCATCATCATCCCATCAACTCATAATTCACACGTCAAGTCCTAACTACCTTACTGAAGGATACAGCTGAAAAGCTGAACCTGGAAAAATTACACACGTTAATCCTGTAGCGTGGTCAGTAATATCGTATATGCCAATAACAGCAATAACAACAACGCATTCCGCAGAATGTTGGAGACCCTGATTTCGCTGCTGGTCAACCTGGCGCTGGTGGCGTGCGGAGCGCTGGTGCTGCTGTACGTGGCGGGCACCTGGAACTACGACTTCTTCTCGCGCCGGGGCATCCCGTCCACGCGGCCGCGCTGGCCCTTCGCAGGGGACTTCCTGGCCACCTTCCAGGGCCGCAGCTTCGTGGACGTGGTCGGCGACCTGTACGCGCGCGGGCGCGGCCAGGGGCTCTTCGGCGTCTTCGAGCTCTCCGCGCGGCCGCTGCTCATGGTGCGCGACCCGGAGCTCATCAAGGTGATCGCGGTGAAGGAGTTCGACAGCTTCGTGAACCACAGGAGCTTCGCCAGTGAGAAGAACGACCCGATTATGGGCAGGAATCTTTTCAACCTGAAAGGTACGTGGGTATCTGGAACCCTGGAACGGTGAACGTCGTTTCTAGGTATGACAACTGTACACAACGGAGGTCAGTGCTTTGAGAAAATTAACGGGATTAGATGGGGCAAGGGTTGATGTCATTGTAGTTCCTCTGGCCTGGAGGTGTCAGGGTTCAAGTCGCGATGGTGGCTGGAGTTTTTGAGGCTATATAGCTAGGTCGAGTCCAGCCGGTGACTGGAGAATAATTGTAATAGCCGGCTGGACTGATAGGTAGATTCCCGATAGACGAATGAGCAGAGTGCGCGATCATAACAAACAAGGCGCGGATTTGCGCTGTCTTTCCTTCCCCTTCCCTGTCCTATTATTACCGCTGTATTAACACGCATTTACATTGCACTGCACTATGTCGCGAGAACAGTTGGGAGCGTAGAGATTGTCCCGTATGGGGTGGTGCCCCGCTGGTGGGAGATACCTGGTTGGGGAAACCGTCACAATCCGACGGATAGGTCGTCGCCGGATCTCGCTATCCAGCGAGGGAAGATCACCTACCGCGACAAAAACATGTACTGCATTTACGGGACTTATAACTTCAGTAGTTGACGCACTCGGAAACGCCAATTAATCAAATAAAGTAAATAATTCCCAAATGTGTACATGTTTCATAAACAACCATAATTATCAGTTAGTTTCATATATTGAAAATAGCTTTATGAAATTTTACATCAGTTGAAATTTCACTATAAAAGAAAAAATTAAAGTGATAATGGCAATTTTTGCAGTTTTTATAATTAACTTGGCTTTTGAGGTTTTCTGCCTATTGTTATTCCTACAATGAACATAGACAAATACCGTATTACCACAAACTTTCAACACTTTGCACATTTTGGACATCTTGTATCTCGAAATTTATTTATATCTGAACAATGAAGCATGATTTACATGCTAAACATGACATTATTGATATCAAGGACAAATAAGTGGTGCACGATCATGACAATACGGATTTGCGAACACAAATTCAGAGTCAAGAAAGTTTTTGGTACAATTTACATTTAATTTTTTTGTCCAAAAAAATTGACATGTTTTTAACTGAACGTCTTTTCGCCTTTGAGCCCTTTTACTGACCTGTCCACTTTGAGACAATCATCACACAACCAATCAACACACACACAGCTCTCTCGCCCTTCACATGCATGCTGTTATTATTGGTTTGGAAACATCTTCTCAGGATTAAAAAAACAGATTTATTCTTTCGCGAATTTATTATATAGTAATTTGACAGAACAGTACTCCTAATCAGCCGATGAGCCGAGTGAAAACTAACTTCTTGTCAGTCTTGTCACACACTCCCACTCATACTTTCCAGATCAAACATGGAAGGACCTGCGTTCAACAATGAGTCCGGCGTTCACTACCAGCAAAATCAAGACAATGATGCCGCTTATTTCTCAATGCGCTGCCCAGTTCACTGCAACGCTGCGCGAGAAATACTTAAGCAGCGAGGAAGGTGAGTCAAAATTTAAATGTTCATATTCCCACAAGTAGTCGTAAAAATAGTACATAAACAAATTGTTAATAATTTTCATTATTTTTATCTTGTACTTGTTTGTAAACTACCGTATATTAGCAGTAAAGTCTTAATAATCTACAGTATCTACAGATAGTGCCCTTCAGGGACAAAATGTATTCTGCCGCGTGTGTAGAAAATGTGGTCCTAAATCAGAAAAAAATCTTCTTGTGAGCAGGTGGAAATCAACATTTTTGCTGATACAGGCCTCAACATTGCAAACCAACAGGCTTGCAAGTCAACAATCAAAACGTTTATGGAAATTACTGTAATAAGTGAAAACTCAAGGAGACTTAACTAAAACAATAAGACATGGCTTTATACGGAGAGGACCACCGTGGTTGGTTGCATCAAATATCTTTGAAACGATTTAAGATATTTAGAAGCGGTTTGTGCGAAGTTATTTCACATGATTGGAGAAGTAACATACTTCATTTCCTTGTTTAAAAACATTTTGTTTTGAAATATTACCATAACTTTTATTTTCTTTTTGGACGCATTTTTCTTTTTTACCGTCATTCTAAAGTTTTTAAAGCAAGGAATACAATGATGTTGTTAGTATTAAAAAAAAAGTACCTATAATACTTCCCAATTGTGTACGTAGAGAATTTTCCGATTAACAAAATTAATATCTGAATTTTCCATTCAAAATCGAAACTGATTCTTTTGTATTTTCACAGACTTTATGGGTATCTAACAAAACTATTGACACCCCTCACCTGGTCAGAGACTGATTAATTTTTCGACATATTTTTCATATATTCGTAATTAGTAACATAGATCAGGCACATGTCGGATTTTTGAAATTCGTATAACTGCAAAAAAATTTGGTACTTGGTTTCCCAAGGTGAGCCGCGTCTCAGTCGATTGAGCTGACGTTTCTGCTATTGTGTTGTGGCCTTCTTCAGAGCTATACTGCTGCCAAGAGGCTAGCGTGTCTCGTTAATATAGAAGAGGGTACATGGACCGATATTCTGCATCGGCGATCAATAGGAGAAGGGCAGGTGACCCGCGATTGGTGGAGAGGGATAAAAGTAATACGGGGAGACGAACACACGAAAAAAAAGTTAAATCACATAACTTCCCAATGTACTGAATATTCTAATTTTTAACTAAATGTACATCTGTATCTTCTTGTGTGCAGGAGCTTTGGAGAAGCCGCTGGAGTCTAACATGAAAGACGTGTTCACGCGGTTGACAAACGATATGATAGCCACAGCCGCATTCGGCGTGACCACCGACTCCCTCAAGGACCCAGACAACGAGTTCTACACTCAGGGACAGCTCCTGACCAACTTCAGCCCCACATATCTCTTCGCATACTTTACATTCCCTAAATTGGCAGAGGTAGAGATCGTAATGAGATTTTGTTTTATATTTCTATAATTAGCCTCATTCGAAATTTGAAATATCCTGTAACTATTTGAAATGTTATTTATTCTGTAAACATAAATTCAAAGAAAGAACTCAACGTGTATAACAAAATGAACAAATTTCTTTTAATTGTTAGTACTTCTAAATTATCAATAACATGAATGATAACTGCATGATTGCACTAATAGAGAATACAGTAATACAAAGAGTTCGAGTTCCTGGAGAGTTCAGAGATAAATATGCAAACGAAGATCATTCGACGGAGCAGGGGTTCTTCATTTTTCGAACTGAACCTTTTTTAAACTTGATATCAAAAATGAAGACAGCTTACGCGTTGAGGTCGGGTGAAGTGCTAAGCCCAAGAGGGAATGTTCAAGCGAGTTTCAATAACATGAATTATCATATTCTTTTCTTTTTAAAAACGAATATATTAAAAAAAAGAGCTGTTTGTTACATTTTGCAGTTAGCTAAAAATGCACTGTTCAACAAATAAGTAAAAACAACTAAACTGAGTTAGATGCACTCTTGGGAATAACACAAACGGTAGTAAAAACACCTCCCCAGACAAATACATGTGAACACAGCACTCTGTGTTCGGCAATACGGGGAACATTTTGCGCAGCTCACAGGAATACGAAGAACAGTTAAATATTTCTGAAAGTTATTCTATATTTAAGAAACGTATTAAGTATAAACGTTTTAAAAGTTATGATATTCGAAGTTGAATATCGTTTTTCGAACATTTAGATTATTTTTAAATTTTAAACTGAGTCAATTGCATACTAAATGTTCCAATTTCAGTTTCTCGGCCTACGAATGATGGACGCAGAGTCGTCGAATTTCTTCCACAACCTCGTGCACGGCACCATGAGCGAGCGGCAGAAACGAGGCATCGTGCGGCCGGACATGCTGCACATGCTGATGCAGGCGCGCGAGGGGCGGCTGACGGTGGAGAAGCAGGACGCGGCCGAGGACGAGCGCGCCAGAGGCAGCGCCGCCAGTAAGTACTTTCTTTAGAAAGTAATGGGAAGGTGGCCTTGCTTTCAATGGCAGTCGAGCTCACGTTTTCAGCTTAAACACATTTTCTTTCTCTCTTTCTTTCCTTCTCTTTTTTCTTTTTCTTTCTTTCTTTCTTTCTTTCTCTCTTTCTTTCTTTCTTTCTTTCTCTCTCTTTCTATCTTTCTCTCTCTCTCTTTCTATCTTTCTCTCTCTCTTTCTATCTTTCTCTCTCTTTCTTTCTATCTTTCTCTCTCTTTCTTTCTATCTTTCTCTCTCTTTCTTTCTCTCTCTTTCTTTCTCTCTCTTTCTTTCTTTCTCTCTCTTTCTTTCTTTCTTTCTCTCTCTCTTTCTTTCTTTCTTTCTCTCTCTTTCTTTCTTTCTTTCTCTCTCTCCCTTTCTTTCTTTCTCTCTCTTTCTTTCTCTCTTTCTTTCTTTATTTCTCTCTTTCTTTATTTGTTTGTTTGAACATGTCAATACAGAATAAAGTTTCGCAATCCAGTTGATTGCCTCTTCAGTTGCTAATGACAACTTCAGAGTACATTTATTTTATAATAGAAATGTGACGTAAGTGGTCATTATCTAATTTTGTCTTAAGAGCCAACCAGATCTGAACATACCCTTCAAACGATTGAGATACGTGAATCTTCCCACTAGTTTATTAGGCAGTATTTAACAATCATTTGGAGTATTCCAAATTAGCGAAAGCGGAACTACAGTTCACTGATATATAATGAAATGACAAGGTAATAGTCGAACGTGTCACGTTGAAACTCTCATGGCTATTTTTCTTTCAATAATAGTGGGGTCAAATGTGGTTCGTTTGAATTTGTTAATGAAAATAAACGTCCGATATTAAGTATTATTTAAAAAAAATTGAAACGAAAGAACAGACATTTTCGTGTGAGATTATTGGGATTGTGTCGTTTACGCCTTTTTGATTTAACTCAAAAGAGAGAGGGATCGATTTGCAAATTTCCGTTGTGCAAATTTACACGAAGAAGAGCGTTTGTAAACGTTACGAGTTGATGCAAATTAAAGAAAAGTAAAAAGAATGTAACGTAAGTTTAATAAAATCGTAAGAAGAGAAAATTATGTAATTCTGCGTTGGCAACCGGCGAATTTTCGGCAAAAGAAATTCAAAGTCCTATTGCCCGGCCTTGGTAAGGAAAAAGGGGATAAAACCAGTTGCTAAATTTAGAAAAAAATATCCTCTGACACCTGATGTAGCGAGAACCCATGTTTTGTGAGTCCATGATACCGAAAAATTGATTGACGGCAAAATGTCAGCATGCCTGTCCGTCTGTGGTCAACTTTTGTGCCTAAACCGTTCAGCCGATTTTATCCCCCAATCAATGAACTCGAGACTGGGAGTTTCAAATGGATATTTTGATTTTGGAGTGTTTTTTACATGAAGTCTCAAAATAATTTTCAAAATGTTTTGAAAAATGCCACCAAATATTTTTATAACTCTTTAGATAACTTTGATCAAAGTAGATGCTAATGTTTAAGTTTTCAAAAATATAAATAGTTTTTGCATAACTTATGGTAAAATATAGGTAATTAAAAAAGAAAACTTTTTCTCAAAAATCGCTTCCAATTTTTCCTTTAAATTTGTTTCCACGGGTAGAAGAAGGGATGATTAAAAGAATGGCGCAGATTTTCTTTTTGTTGAACTCTCTCAACTTTCGAAAATTGCAAATTTGCAAATACGAGAAACGATGTGCTATTGTAGTACCACTAGTTTTCAATGGTCATGTTCATACCTCATCTTCCCTCAGACACTGTTTGAAATCGGTGTTTCACGTGTGTGTTTCAGAACTCACTGACAACGACATCACGGCCCTGTCGCTGATCTTCTTCCTGGGCGGCCTGGACACCGTGTCCGTCGCGCTGAGCTTCGCGGCGGTCGTCCTGGCGCACCACCCCGACGTGCAGCGGCGCCTGCAGGCCGCGATCGACGACGTGTGGGAGGAGGCCGACGGCCCGCCCACCTACGAGGCCATTCAGAAGATGAAGTACTTGGACGCTGTCGTCTCTGGTATGTCCCTATTCGGTTTAATGGAGGTGGTTTCTATTTCAAATTGCGTTAATTAGTGGTTAATGCTTTGCAACAGTGCCACTTCTCCCCTCCGTTGACCAACTTTTTTCTACTACTCTCTCAGGCTCACTCATGCCCGAGATACAATAAAGCATTTCTCTATATGCCATTTGGAAGATACACAAGAAAGCACGTGATTGTTTCGTTACTGTGCTTCGTTCTAAACTATTAATATCAGCTAATTTATCAGCTGTTTCTCTCAGTTTTACTACCCAAAATATTTGCAAGGATATTTGCATCATTATTTGAATTTACATAATTTGTTAAAACTACGTTGTTTACCAATAAATATTTTGCTACTGTCATTATTTTATTATCGTTATTATTTCATTTCAAGCTGCAAAAATAGGGTTAAAACGTTGTGAAATATATAAACAGTGTCTGTTCGTATGGGTAGTCGTTCAATATACGAAAAAAAAACTATTAGATGAAATCAACTGCTTTGACTGGTAGGATAGCGACCATGCTCAATTACGTTTTGCATACAGAAACATTTAGTGACGTTTCTCAAAAGTGTGTTTGTGTGACGTTTCCAGAGGTTTTGAGGATGTACCCGCCCGCGTTCGTCACAGATCGCATTTGCCAGAAGGACATCACGTTGCCAGCAGGCGCTATGTCGAAACTTGCTACGATCAAGAAAGGCACCAATGTGCAATTCCCCATCATCTGTCTGCAAAATGACCCGGACTATTGGTCGGAACCGGAAAAGTTCGACCCAGAACGCTTTAACGACGAGAACAAGCACAAGATCAAGCCCTATACATACATTCCATTTGGATTGGGGCCCAGATTATGCATAGGTAAGTAAAGGTCAACCAGCTATCATAACAGCTTGCGAATAAGGGAAGCTACACTGACCACCAACAACTGGAATATGTTTGCTCGGGGACACATCGGCAGCAGGAAGTGAAAATTAGTACTTCGTGTTTTCGTCATCTTGTGGAGTTTTCCAACTCCCCAACGGGGCACCGTCCCAGACGGGATGAATTCTAATCTTCTTTGTGAACTCCCAATATGTACGGCAGTTGAGAGCATGGCGTGTGTATGTGTTAGGGGAGAGGAGATTAAAGGAGAGGGATACGGAAAGGCAGACAACGCGCCGTCCATGGCCCGTTTGTCAGCGAATTGATTCAGCAGTCATCGGGTATTGTTCGGAGAAACCACCGACTACTATCACCGGCTGAAGTGGCTCAGAGAATCCATTTATGACACTGCAGTGCCTCTGGATGGGAGATTCTAGGTTTGTAGTCCCGTCGCTACTACGCCCGACACTAGCTTGTTAGCTAGGTCGAATTCAGTCACTGTCTAGAGGAGAATTCTCACGTCCAGCTGCTCTGGTTGTTTTCCGTGGTTTCTTCAATCAATACCAGACTACTGCCTGAGTAGTACCATAACAAACAGGCCACGCGCGATCTTTCCTTTCTCTTCCGTTTCCAAATATCACTCTTTACGTACATACACATACACGCACTACACTACTACGTACGTCAGGACATATATCGGGAGCTTACCACTTGACCCAAGTGGGGAGGTTTCTCCGATGGTAGGAGATACCAGGATGGGGAAATTCCAAAGACGAGCGCGACCGCGAGGGGGAAGCAGAGTACAACTAGAGTACAACTAGCTTCGTTGTTGCTTGCAGGGCAGCGCCTGGCGTTGCTGGAGCTGAAGGTGGCGCTGGGCCACCTGCTGCGAGGCTTCACCCTGCAGCCCAGCCCGCGCACCGCCTTCCCCGTGGAGTGGGCGGTCGGCAGCGCGGGCATCAGCCCCAAGGGCGGCTTCTGGTGCGGCCTCGCCCCGCGCGCCCACTGACCTTGCGGCCTTCGCTCGACACGTGCAAGCGCGACACGCTCAACACCCGTGGGCTGGCCGTCGCTCGACACGTGCAAGCGCGACACGCTCAACACCCGCAGGCTGATCTTCGCTCGACACGTGCAAGCGCGACACGCTCAACACCTGGTGCTCAACACGTGCACGCGACGAGGGACTGCCGTTCGGGGTCAGGGGACTGTCGTCGCACAGTGTTGAAGTTGGGTTTTGGACAAAAAAATGTAATAGTGACTAATATTGGCCATTATTTGGCGTGAAAATTATGTGAATGAAATGTGCACGGTTGTGTTGTTCGAAATGTTATTTGCACAGTGGGTCGTACACAGTGGGTCAAAGCTAGCGAGTAGAGACGATATTTGCGAATGATACGATCCAAATGAAAGGCAACTACATGAAACTGTATAGTTTAAAGTAAAAATAGAGTTTTTAACAACTTTGTTATAAGACTTGATAAATGGAATTCTTTTGAAACTGACGGAAGGGTATGCTGCTAGTAACTCTTGACTTCCCTAAAAACCACACTTGTAGCTTACTTTTATGACAAAACGTGTCCACCACCGACTGCTTCTGTATCTGACTATTTCCAATGATGCTGAATCACAACATATGGAAACAAATTCCATATATTATTATCACATTTGACAATAGTTCCGGTGAAGTATAGTTATGCAGTAAAACTATTGTAACGTTAAATGTTCGTGCATGCCTACAGGCTCAAAATTGGATTCACGTGTAGTGCTACAAGCTGTGCAAAAGCTCTTCAATAACAAACTTTAAAGAGTTTGTATACGTAATATATCATTTTCATTGTCGTCAGAGAGAAGTAAAACATTGTAAGCAATAAGTAATATATTCGTGGGATGTTGGTCAGGTCATGAAAAAAAAAGTGCTACAGCTTGAGTTGCAATTAGGAACGGCACTGACTACTTAGTACTGTTTCTAACTGATACTCATTCCATTAAACACAGACTACTTGTCAACAAGTGATTGTGAAATACAGTATTATGTTTAGGTTGTTGATAGAAGATAAGCTTTTATTAAAGTTGCAAAGATAGCAATGAACTGTTAAGGTATTATAAAGTACATGAATTAACTAGAGAAAAGTTAATAAATGTTGTGTACAATACATTTTGTTTGCTAATTAAACACAATGTATGTTTTATGGAGATGGAATTGTGATTTAGTGAACGAACTCAAAGTATAATCAAGTATTTTCACCACACTGCATTTCAGGTCGGAGAAGCTATTGTTTCGTTAACTTGCTGGCTTAGAGTTCAGCAAGCAACCATTCATTCATTCTCGGCCGCGATCACACGAGATCACTTGCTAGATTTTGTAATTCTTGGAAACATAATTTTACAGGAAATGATAAAATCCTTTCTTTGTGTTGATTGGAACAACAGAGACCCCAAAGTTTTTAAATGCTTAGAGATAGCGTTTCTATCAGCACAGACTCACAATGATTCGACTATCCTATTCAGATTAGATGGTTAAAACAACAAAATAATGTTGAAGTTCAGACGCACAAGGTGTTACCAGCACTATCACTATATTTCTCAGAGTCTTGGTGCTGTGTTTATTATAAATAAGATCAAATTCAGCTTTTAGTTTTCAATAATAAAAATCCCTAATTTGATATGTGGAATCATTACTATTTATTATATTCATTATGTAGTAGTTAAATGTGATTATGAATATTTAATTTTATTAATTGACTTCAAACGTAGACTTGTAATGTCAAATCTACACTTCACGATTTCATATGTACGACGAATTCCTAAGAATAAATACTATTTATTAAGATTTTAACTTGTACTTTTTTAACTCCCGTTTTCCTATGTACTTCTAACGCAAGGAAAATTCATTAACACTACGATAACATGAATAATCGCTCAAAACTTTATTTGGAGCAGTTAATTATTTTTAAGGAAATCAAGATACAACGGCTTAAACTCGCCTGCCAGGATATCCGCCAACAACGGAACTCTGTGAATACTATTCGTGTATCTTAATAATTACGAATTAACATTACTGCAGAAGAATGAACCAATAGTTTTGAGAAAGAAAATACAGCTTTAATACAAATATTTCTAGGAATGAAATGTATAAAATTAATAACTAGAAGTAGTAGATCCTGTGTTGATGACAATATTATCGGAAGTATCACATTAATTCTTACTAGTAATTCTACGGGTACTTGTGTAAGCAAGTTTAGCTAAAATCGGAATTTAAGGGTATCTTCAAAAATATTCAACCATTTTTATTATTATGCAAGTATTCTTCTAAGGCAAGTGTCAATTGTTTTAAGTTTGCTCATTTGAAACGTGACGCGAGTGACAGATCAGAATTAAACATATGCATGATATCAATTGCGAATATTTCACGGGCATTATAATTCGTAATACTCTTTTCACGTGTCATCAAAAAGAAAAGAGGAAGCGTAATGTGCCATGCACTAACCGTATCAAGACTGAGAAGTACAATGAGAAGTGCTTTACTGTTGTGGCGATCAATTCTGGTATAAATTATAACACATTTATAAAAGGACGAGATTATTTTTACCTCATTACGTTTTACAGTCACATTTTTGATGACTTTTCACTAAGACTATAAGTATACTCTCTAGAAGTTATCTCTCCAACGTTTGCAGGTTTTCAAGGATAATTATTCTTAGCACGATACCATCTCTACACTAATAAAGGTGAATTCAACGACATGAAACGGACATCGATACCACACGAAGTAGAGTACGAATAGATACGAAATTTTTACAGGATAGTCTTGTGAATTGTCGCAGTGTTCTCACAAAGTTTGGTATTGATTAATACAACAAAATTGCGAAAAATAAATAATTTAAATAATGTGTTGTAAGATGCAGCATGATCACTATTTTTCGCTAAGTTTACTTCTGTCGCTAAAAACAGATTAGCTCCTAATATGTTCCGTCCAAGTTTCGACAGTAGCGGTGCAAAGGAACTAGTATTTAATACATTCGCTAGATGCCACTAGCAGAGAGCAAGATAAACTTATAATCTAATACCAATATACTGTAAAATAAAATGAAAGAAAGTCACAGTGTTCTGTTAAAATTTGAACGAATTACATTAAAGTATCAATCTTGAACATAATGGTATATACAAAATTGATCGTTTTCCTATTTCAAATGGATTGCATATGAAGAAAGCGCGAGCAACACAGGGTATACAATAATTACATACAGAGGTACGCGATCAACGTAAAGCATTTTTCTAGGCTCACGATTTGAATTAGGTCGACAACCGCACAACTTTTAAGAGTTGAACTTCGTTGTGCTTAGAAACACGGCCCCGGCTAACACTCGTGTGATCCCTTACACTTAAATATATATTAATATATTACGCATTACGCCCTAAGGAAGGTTGCAGAATGGCGACCGAAACGTCGGTACCTTCGCCATGGTCGCGGCGTCACCCGGACAGTCTAGTAAATAATGTATTAATATAATTTATCATTTTAATAAAAAACGATTTAAAAGTTAACAAGGTACATAAAAGTTAATAAAGATAGGGAGATATAAAGATCTAGAGTTTAAACATTAAAATAATCAGTAACTATTTTTGAACTAGAACAATGAGACACAATGAAACAAAAATAATTAATCAGTGTATTAAACTCTATTATTATCTGAGCTTTCTTTTGATAACTTCCTTTATCACATCCTGGCTTATGTAAGGTTGACGTAGATAAAATATCTTACGCGCAAGAAATCAAGTTTATCTAAAAGTATTTCCTCTCAGTAACACTAGAGCAAATACCAACTCTAAAAATATACCTCTTATAACTCTTAACAAGATTGACATTTGTTGTTGTATGTTATTTTCTTTCTCAGAAATGTAATGGATTATTATCACTTTCATTGTGTCTTACTAGTTTTTAATAAAACAATTTACAGTAAAATAATTTATATAGTTGATTTTTCAAGTATCGTGGCATTCATAAGATATATTACGTCAAACGTATTATTCGTAGTTTGCAAGTCTCTAAATGAAATTGTTAAGAACATATTTTGTCATTTGGAGGAGATAATTATTTACAACACTACCAAAGGAGCTTGAAAAATTAGAAGTGAAATCAGTTATGTTCTAAAGGAAGTTAAAACATACTTTTTGAAGTACAAAACTATTGGATGTAATTTTATTTCATAAACTTTGCTCATTCAGGTAAATCAGTATTAAAATTGTACTTGAGACGAATGCTCCATGTATGTATTAAAGGTTAAACCCTAATACATTGTAATATTTCTTATATAATCTTATGCGATATTCTTAATTCTCTATTCAATACGCCACGAACGTTTTATGTGACGTTATAGCTGTTTTAATTGCGTACCGAGGTCCGTCTGTATTGGATTTAGAATAATTTGAAATTATTGAATTATTTATTTGAGTTTCACGAACAAACTGATATCCAATTAAGTGCACGTCTTTCTATATAACTTTAGAAGAACTTGCTTTGCGATGTAGGGTTACGAGAGACAATTTTAAAAATCAGGATCATGAGGTTAAAAAATGAGGACATTAAACAAAAAATCAGCACATTTTTAATAACGACATACTGGTACAGTTTTTGTACTATAGAAGAGAGATGAATTTTTGAGTTAAATCTGCACTGTACAGGAAATCATCGCCATATGCCAGCTTTATAATTAAGGATTCTTCCTATCTCTATTTTAATATTTCCCGTACAATATAAGCATAAGACATGCCTATTGTTCTTATAGTTAGAAACACTGAACTTCATTTCTAGCATAACTTTTTTCTCTAAAGCAATTTTATTTTTTAATATATTTATGTTAGAAAAATTAAAATTACAATAAACAATTAATAGGTGACAGACTAAAAATCAGAACTTTTGGCAAAAAATCAGAGTAGTCAGGACAAGGTCCAAAAATCAGGACAATTCCTGATAAATCAGAACGTCTGGTAAACCTATTGCAATGAAAATTGAACGGTGTTTCTACGTTTACACGGCAAAGATAGTTCCCACACCCCGTCCGCCGGCCTGTATGTGCTCCACTCAAGGCACTATAGAGTCTCGGGCCTGCCAAGAGCGCAGGTCGTCGCGTTTACTTTTTCGGACTACAACAAAACATAAGTGATGGACTGTAAACAATGATTAAGATGACTGATGTGCCTATCTTATTGGAGAGATACATTTTTCAGTCAGGTGAGAAGTTGAGCTTGTGGCAAAACCTACGCTTGCTAGTTGCCAGTACCGTGTTACAATCCCACCGACTCTACAGTTCGGGAAGGACACTAACTGCGAATAAACTGTCAGTTTTCTGTATGTAGTGACCATTCAACTGTTTGTCCATAAATGATTCTAGTTGCTATCATTTAGTACA